GGGACAGAAAATAGGATGTTTGCCAGTGTTGGGGAGACGGGGAGAGTCCCGGAGAGTGCTTGCACAACCACTGAACGTGCTCAGTGCCGTTGAACTGTATGTCCACTTGCAGTGGTTAAGATGGTAAGTTTTATGTCATACGTGTTTTATTACAAATATATAAATATACATAAATATCTTTTAGCCCACTGATCACTTGGCATATCTTGTCAGTATGAGTGTGCCCACCCTGCTGTAGTCTTCCATGTTAAATCCTGGAATTTTCTTGATTAAAATGGTAGTGTTCATCGTTCAGTGCAGACTGACAAGCAAAGTTGTGTGATGTCACTGTCATGACATAGCAAACAGAATAAGCATTACAGACCAGGTAACACTCTATGGACATTCAATATTAGTGAGAAAATGATCAACCTTAAAAAATCTTATGCATCTATTTTTCTGTTATCTTCAAATTTTAAAAAAGGCAGAGCCGGGCATGATGGTGCATGCCTGTAATCCCAGCACTCGGGAGGCTGAGGCAGAGGGATTGTTGTGAGTTTGAGACCAGCCTAGGCTACAAAGTGAGCTCGAGGCCAGCCTGAACTGCATAGCGAGACTCTGTCTCAAAAGGACACCCCCACAAAAAAATAAAATAAAATAAAAAATAAAAGGCAGAGCTTAAGAAGTCTTAGAGATAGATATTTTGAACTTTTCATCTTAAAAATGAGATGAGAGATTGATTTCTTTCATTTCAAAATCAGCAACATCTACTGCTTCGACAGTGTCCCTGGCCAACAACTTTTTTTTTTTTCCAGTTAAACATTTAAAATTTATTAAACTTTTCAGTCAAAATAATTGGAACAAAAATATACAATCTCGTTCTTCTAGAACAGTTTCTTCTTAGGGACCAGGGCTGACTAATGCTCCAAAGACTCTGTTCCACATCTCAGACATAAACTCCATCACAACCAGGATGCAGTATAATTATTTTTAAATAAAATAAAGGTACTTTAGGTTGTCAGTTTCTAACTTAATGTGAACTAAAGTGACATTCTGCTAAGGTTGCTTCAGGATAAGGATGTTTTGTCCTTACAAACACAGCCAACAACTCTGTAAGTCACATCGGTCAGAGTGGCCTGGATGTCCTCCTCTTGGCTGCCCCAGGGGCTGCTGGGAAGCCCGGACACATCAGGGTTCCCTTAACAAGGAAAGCAAAGCAGAGTAAGTACTGGACTGGCAACAAGCAGTGTCTGCCACATTCACCTTAGTGTTTTGTCTTGTCTTGTTGGTTGTTGGGAGTACAGGCTGGAACCAGTGGTTACATGGCTCCGGAAATCCTCATGGACAAGGCGAGCTACTCCTTCCCTGTGGACTGGTTTGCAATGGGCTGCAGCATTTACGAAATGGTGGCTGGACGGACACCGTTCCGAGATTACAAGGAAAAGGTCAGTAAAGAGGATCTAAAGCAAAGAACCCTGACAGAGGAGCCCCTGTTCCAACATGAGAACTTCACAGAGGACGCAAAAGACATCTGCAGGCTCTTCCTGGCGAAGAAACCGGAGCAGCGGTTAGGAAGCAGGTAAACAGACAGACATCTACACTGTCCACAGCGCTGACCTGGGATTTGTGCCGGAGTTTGGAATTAAGTATTATTATATTCCTGACATTATTCTCATATAATGAAAATCATATTAAATATTGTATTGAGCTATAGCATTAAATACTTATGATCAATAATATTATTTAAATATTTATGATGAAGTATTTCTAATGCTTTCAGACACTGTAAGTGCTTGATATGGAAAAATCTCCAAAATATAACTTACAGGGAATAAATGAGTTGCAGAACAACTTTCATTAGAAAACAAAAGAAAAACCGGGCGTGGTGGCGCACGCCTGTAATCCCAGCACTTGGGAGGCTGAGGCAGGAGGATTGTTGCGAGTTTGAGACCAGCCTGGGCTACGAAGTGAGCTCAAGGCCAGCCTGAATTGCAGAGCAAGACCCTGTCTCAAGAAGCCAAAAGAAGGGGCTGGGGATTTAGCTCAGCAGAACAGCGCCTGCCTGGCAAGCAGGAGGTTGTGAGTTTGATTCCCGGTACCAGAAAAAAAAAACAAACAGTCAAAAAATCAAGTAGCCAGTAAGTGCACCGGAATAAAAAAAAAAAAAAAACAAAAAAAAAAAAAAAAAAAAAAAAAAAAAAAAAAAAAAGGGAGGGTTTAGGATGGTAGAACACTTGCACAGCATGCTTAAGGCCCTGGGTTCCAGGCCTGATACCGAAAACAAATAAATGGAAAAGAATACATAATTTAAATGATTGTATAGACCATTTCAAAGAGCTACAAAGAATTTATAGGATTGGCTGTCTCTGATGAAGGGAAATCGGGAGCTGGTGATTAATGTAAATGAGGACATTCATTATATCCTTTTATTGTCTTATAAATGTTGAGCTATTTGAATGAAGTATCTATTCAAAAATGAGTAAAATGAGAACATTAAACAAAAACCTCAATCATACCCCCAGAAAATTCTGCTGCTTTTGAAACTTTCCCTTAAAATGCCATTAATTATTCAACAGATATTTAGTGAGCTGGGTGTGGTGGCACACACTTATCATCCCAGGGACTTGAGAAGCTGAGGCAGGAGGATTCCTTGAGCTCAGAAGTTCAAGGCCAGCCTGGACAAGATAGCAAGACTATAATATCTCAAAAAACAAAAACAGAAAAACAATGGCTGATTGCATTGTGGTTTTTTGTTGTTGTTGTTGTTTTTCCGGTACCTAGAATCGAACTCACAACCGCACACTTGCCAGGCAGGCACTGTGATGCTGAGCTAAATCCCCAGCCCCGGTGATTGCATTATGTAAGGAGAAAATCATATGTAAGGCTTTGGGTTTACATAGATTCATGTCCCTGCTCTATGATATACTCCTCATTTTATACCAATGATAGAATCTGTGAGTTTTAGTTTCTTGCTGTGTAAAATGGGGTTGATGGTGAATTTCATGTTAACTTGAGTAGGCCATAGCGCCCGGGTTTTGGTCAAACATTATTCTTTTTTTTTTTTTTGGAGACAGGGTCTCTTGTGTGCAGTTCAGGCCGGCCTTGAGCTCACTTTGTAGCTCAGGCTGGTCTCAAACTTGCAATGATCCTCCTGCCTCAGCCTCCCAAGTACTGAGATTACAGGATGTGCCACCATGCCCGGCCTACATATTTTAGTAATACATAGTATGTATGTATAATTATGCACACACAAACAAATATGGGGTTAGGCACCTATACCTCAGCTACTTGGAGGCTGAGGATAGAGGATTGCAAGTTCAAAGCCAGCATGGGCAACATACCAAGACCCATTTCAAAAGAAAGAAAACACACACATATACACACACACAAATATGAAACCTACCGCCATAAAGTACTGACTGATTTTGAACATAACACAAGAACTCGGGAAGCCAAATTTATTTTTTTTTAATCTTTTTGAGAGAGGGTCTCGCTATGCAGTTCAGGCTGGCCCGAGCTCACTTTGTAGCCCAGGCTGGTCTCAAACTCGCAACAATCCTCCTGCCTCGGCCTCCCAAGTGCTGGGATTACAGGCATGGGCCACCATGCCCAGCGCCAAATTACTCTAAATCTTCCAAGTAGGTGACCCTGGAAGCTCTACTACAAGGCTGTCTTAGCTCAGAATGTCCAAGTATATGCCAGGTGTGGTGGTGCAACACCTGTAATCCCAGTACTTGGGAAGCTGAGGCAGGAGGATCATTGCAAGTTCAAGACCAGCCTGGGCTACAAAGTGAGCTCAAGGCCAGCCTGAAATGCATAGTGAGACCCTGTCTCAAAAAGACAAAAAGAAAAAAAAGAATGTCCAAGCTAACTTTTGACCTGACATTTTTTCTTTTTTTCAGGGACAGGGAACCAACCCAGAGGCCTTCCATCTGCTAGGCAAATGCTCTACCACTGAGCTATACCCCCAGCCCCACCCTGATTATTTTTTTGTAACTACCCGAACAAAATTCATTTGTAGTAACTTTCAAAGCATAACCAATGGCCAACCGAACCAGTGAGTATTTTGAAATTAGATAGGGCCAGGCATGGTGGCCCACACCTGTAATCCCAGCACTCAGGAGGCTGAGGCAGGAGGATTATTCTGAGTTCAAGGCCAGCCTGGGTTACAGAGTGAGCTCAAGGCCACTTTGAACTGCATAGTGAGACCCTGTCTCAAAAAGACAAAAAAAAAAAATAGATGGAATTGTACATTATGTAGAATCAAAATATGGAACTGATTTTCCTGTGTAGATTTCAACACCATATTGGTGAAGTCAAAAATAAGCTGTGTTATGATAACAAGGAATCCGCAAAGTCTCAGCAGCTTAGAACAAAACAGACACGAAGTCCTGTTCACCCAAAGCCGGTCCTGGGTCCAGCACCCTCTCGGGCACAGCTCTTCCCCGCGGTGACTCAGAGACCCAGGCTGCTTCCGTCTTCAGCTCTACGGGACCGCGGCTTCCAGTCACAGTGACGGAAGAGAAAGCAGAGCGAACTTGTGGCTCTTTCTCCTGCCTCAGCCGGGAAGCGCCACTCTCCACACGTGTGTCTGTCTCAGGTCTGAGGGTGAAGGAGCTGCTAGCGTCCTCTTGGCGCCCAGGAAGGAGAGGTGACCCAGATACGGTGGCCACTGACAGTCCCCAGCGTTCTCTCCTGCCCCGGCTCTGGAGGTCGGGGGGTCTCACAGGACACACGGTGTCCCGCAGTCCCTTTGGATGACTTCCTGAAGTCACACCACCCTGTGGATGCCTCACTCCACAAGTTTGATTCAAAACCCATGCATCAGCCCATTATTTACTTATTTAAACAGACTTGGGTTGGGCCCTTCTCACTGAGCTACAGCCCATGTTTAACTTCTTGAGTCAGGGTCTTGCTACATTGCCCAAGCTGGGCTCGAACTCACGATCCTCCTGCCTGCCAGAGGGCTGGGGTTACAGGGGTGCACCACCGAGCTCCGCGCTCTCTCAGCACTGTAAACGCACACTTCAGTTTTACAGGACAGAACGCTGACCTTTCAGGAAAATGTCACCTTGAAGCACTGGATCTTCGCTGGAAGCTGCTTCCCTAGGCAGAGCCCGTGTAGGAGGCATTTGCTGTTGTGAATGTTTTGAATAAAAATGTTTACAACATTACAGAAAAGGCGTATAAGAAACAGCTGTTTGGTGAAAGAGAAACCCTCCCAAGGTTTTCATGCTAATTCTCTGGATTTTTTAAAAATTCATTCAAATGAGCTAATGTGTGCTATACATAATGGTGTCCTCCAAAGCCAAGACAGCTGTCCAGACAGCACCTTACGAGGTGGAGAGGACAGCGCCCTTCCTGCCTGCTTTCACAGGCGTTTGCAGAGCACCAAACCCCCTCCCTCCCTAGCATCGTGGAGACGACTGCCTTCGCTCCCTTCGCTCTGTGGAAGGTAATCTGGCGCAGGAGTCAGAAGCTCTTCAGAGCATCCCACAGTCCCCCGACAGGGTCAGCTGTGACGTTTTCCAGTAAAGTCAAAGGTGAAGACCGCTTAGGCTTTTTGCAGGTTTAATTCTGAGAGTTAGTTCCGCAGAACAATAGCGAGTAACAGTGCAAGCGAGTGACTTCAATGCCGGGACTGCTGCTGTAGGCATCTGCGCAGACCAGACCCCACGGTGTGGTCCTCACCTGTGTGCAGGTGGTATCTGCTTCAGTAACAGTTACAAGAAATCCACCGCCATCTCTGTGTAGGGTTCAGTACCACGAGAGCCTCTGTTCATGCTCTAAATATATTCTACTCCCACAAGCAGAAGCCCTTGCTGCTGCGGCTTTCGGTGTTAGGAAACACGCTGTCTTTGATGGCCTCTCCTGTTGTCTGAAGTGCAGCTTCTCAGTGTAGTCTGTAGCTTCTACAGACACCAGAATTAGGAGTGAAGTTGGGAAGCCTGGTCATCAGTGGTGGCATCAGCAAGCGTCCTTTTGTTTTCTTTTTTTTTTTTTTTTTGAGACAGGGTCTCACTATGCAGCTCAGGCTGGCCTTGAGCTCACTGTGTAGCCCAGGCTGGTCTCGAACTTGCAGCTATCCTCCTGCCTCAGTCCCCCGAGTGCTGGAATTACAGGCGTGTGCCACCATGCCCGGCAGGCATACTTTTCTTGGGAAAAATATAAGACAGGGATCCTGTCCCCTAGGGTTATCTAGTTGGCTGAAGAATACCAAAGAGCCATCAAAGTGGCCTGTGATTCCCTCATGTTTTATAATTATCTGCAAAAGGACTGTGGTTATCCGCCCCTGAAGGACACACCAAGGCCTCTGGGCCTGGTCTGCTTGGGCTGCCATTTGTTCCCCCCAATGTGAAGACTGGCCTTTAGAGCCTCCATTTACCTCAGTAACTCTCCCTCAGGGTACTTACTCCAAAGATGTAAGTCACTCAAACACCAACTCAGGCCGGGCGTGGTGGCACACACCTGTAATCCCAGCACTTGGGAGGCTGAGGCAGGAGGATCGTTGAGAGTTTGAGGCCAGCTTCAGCTACAAAGTGAGCTCAAGGCCAGTCTGAACTGCGTTGTGAGACCCTGTCTCAAAAAGACAAAAAAAAAGGGAATTTGGGGTAAGCCCTCAATTCTTTTCCAAAACCTTTTTGATATCTGGAATGGAAAAATGTAAAAAGAGAGACCGTGAATGTGATTCATTTGTAATAAGGTAGATTTGTGACAGAAATTGACTTTTTCCAAAAGGAAGATCAATCAATCTACAAGCCAATCAAATGTGAGTGGGCATTGTATAGGACAAAATGTGCTTCTCTTGCTTCGTGTGACCCTCAAAGGGTAGTGACTGGAAGCTGCAGTCACTGGTGGCCTCCCTGAACTTCCTGGGTATCCCCAGAAACACCAAAACTAAAAATCATGCCAAATGCTTGACTCTTTTTTGTTTGTTTTGTTTTGTTTTGTTTTGTTTTGTTTTGTTTTGTTTTGTTTGAGGCAGGTTCTCACTATGTAGTACAGCCTGGCCTTGCACTCATTAATATCAGGCTCATTAATGCCCAGGCTAGCCTCAAACTCACTGCGATCCTCCTGCTTCAGCCTCCTGAGTGCTAGAATTACAGGCATGCGCCACCACACCCAGTAAATGCTTGCCTATTTACAAGTCACATCTATAAGAGAAGGCTATCTGCAAACAATGAAAGTGCTACTGTCTGTGAATAGTAGAATTTTAAATTACTATTTTTCAAAGTCATTCTTTCTGTCTTTAAAGTGTTTTTGCAATTAAAATGAAATGCAGGCCAGGCGTAGTGGCACACGCCTGTAATCCCAGCACTCGGGAGGCTGAGGCAGGAGGATCGTTGCAAGTTCGAGACCAGCCTGGGCTACAAAGTGAGTGCAAGGTCAGCCTAAACTGCATAGCGAGACCCTGTCTCAAAAAGACAAAAATAAATAAATAAATGAAATGAAATGCACGATGGAAAGAGTCATTACACACTTTGTATCGTTAGAGCGTCTCTCGTTTCAGGTTGTTAGTGTTTCTGGCTGAGCATCTCTTTTTTCCCCAGGAAAGACTCTGATGATCCCCGGAAACATGCTTTCTTCCAAACCATCAACTTCCCTCGTCTGGAGGCTGGCCTCGTGGAACCCCCGTTTGTACCAGACCCTTCTGTGGTTTATGCCAAAGACATTGATGAAATTGAAGATTTCTCCGAGGTGCGGGGCGTGGAATTTGATGACCAAGACAAGGCATTCTTCAAGAGATTTGCAACAGGTGCTGTCCCCATCGCGTGGCAGGAAGAAATCCTCGAGTCGGGGCTGTTTGAGGAACTGAACGACCCCAACAGGCCGGCAGGCTCCGGGAAGGGGGATGCCTCCAAGTCTGGTGTGTGCGCGTTGCTGTGACCCGCCCCCTCCGCCGGCGGCGTCCCCGCTGATGTCCTCCCCGAGTGTTCCCGCACTGCTGAAGGGGACTCAGCGTGGGGACACACCAGCCTCGGAACAGCTCGAAGGGCGGGTGTGCAGCCTCCACACCAACATGTTTTTATTTATTTTTCTTCTTTTTTTCCTCCATAAAAATTAGCAAAGTCTCAGTTTTCAGCAAGGGCTGGAAAAAGGGACAGTCGGGTTTATTTTGATGAACTGAAGATGAGAACCCTCCGCCGCCCGTCTCTGAATCACACACGGTCCTAGGGACAGACGGTGGGGCGCTGCGGTGAACCCGGGAAGGGAGCGCTTGCAATGCCTAGTAAATAGTCATTTCAGGTCTTCCTTGTTTGTATTCCTCTTCTCTTCATCTTTCAGTATTTCTTCTCCTTCTGTACTTACAAAAGAATTTTGAAACTGAAAATAAATGTTCCTGATGTTCTCCCCTTGAAAGGAGTGGATGGTAATACCTTGGCAATATTCCAGATTACAGATAATTTTCAGTTTCATTGACAGGCTTCATTTTTTCACTGTTTTTGCGGGGGGAATAATTTATCATCATATTGTTGAAGCTTTTTTTTTT